GGAAAAAATTAAAAAAAATAATCATCATATTGTTCGATAATTTGCAAATATTTATATCTGTCGCAATTAAAACTATTGGTCATTTTTTTTTGTTCTTTTCTTGTTTTTTTTTTTTTCTTTTTTTTTCTATTTTTTTTTTTTTCTTTTTTTTTCTTTAATTTCAACCATCGTACAAAATTAACAGGATTTCTCATTTGAAAATACACATATATACCTACGTATTTTGAATTAGGCAGGCTTTTGAGATGGAATCGCCCAAAGGGAATATTTGGTAGCGATCTATCCGATTGAGTTAAAACCTTTAACCCTGCTGTTTCGTAAGCAGCTTACGTCGTTACACGGTTGAGAAATGATCCGTATCTCCGCAAAGCTCGGTAGAATTAAACTATTTCAAATCCTAAATGTTCCGAGTTAAATTAAATATAGTTGATGTATAGAACTCGTGTTATTACGCTGAGCATTTACTTAATTTTTAATTTTATTAGAATAAAGATTACATTTAGAGATATTATTTGGCATATATTATCATCGAATAGAAGATAACATCTATTGAAAATATTTATGTATCTTACGTTATATTTCACGATAGATATTATATATCTATATCGATCAATCAACGATGAAGATCGATATAATAGAAATCGCTCCGTGAGGAGAAACATCAATTATTCATACTTTGAGGTTTGTTTGAGTTTAACAGCTAAGTATCGACGAAATACCTAAGCTCGGATATTCGAGAATATCCAAAGGTGCAAGTTCCTTTGTGTTATTACGTAATCTGTAATTTAATTCCGAAGGAGTCATCGTTGATCGTGCACGGAATACGAGTCTGACGAAGCTAGCGAGAGAAGAATCGTGCATCGAGATCGAATTGGAGATCTTGGAACGGTATCAGATACGAAAATTGGAACATAGTCTTCATTGTCGTTATAATCGTCCTTCGTTCGTAGTCATTGTCTCCGAGCGAAGGACCATTCTGATTTTATAAGGAATTAATTAACACTTACTTTGTAACGAGATCCTATCTAGTTCTTTGTTTAACCTCGTTTATCGTCTTTTCTCTTCTTCTTTCTTTTACCCTTCCAAAAATATGATAATGTTACGCTGTGTATATATATATATATATGTATTGAACAGGCGTAAACTTTTCTCTGGTTTCTGTTAAAAATAAATTATGGATGTTAATTGTTCATTCTATTATTTCGAATATTAATTTCTTTTGAATTTCATTTTAATCCAATAATATATATATATATATATATATATATATATATATATATATATATTCGCAGAATTAATTGTAATGTAATGTCGTAATTAATCAACTTTTTGCTACTCTTTATTATTGGAATAATTTCATTTACAATTTTTTAGAGAGAATATATTGTTAAAATTTGTACAGTACTGCGATGACGTCATTTAGGATTTTTTAAAAAATTTTTAATTTGATTTAAATTTGTTGGAGTGATGTGAGTATAAAGAAAGAAAGAGGGAAAGAGAGAGAAAGGGAGAGAAAGAGAGAAAGAGTGGGAGTGGTGTACCAATGAAACTCGTGGTAATTAAATATGCACCGTATAACTAATCGCTTTTGTAATTAGCAATTAAGTGAAGATCCAACGTGAACGACTTTTTCCAACGGAAATTACTTGAAATTTAATCAACGTTCACTCTTTCTCTCTCTCTCTCTCTCTCTCTCTCTCTCTCTCTCTCTCTCTTCCTCTCTCTTACGCGTGAGTGGACATATTCCAAAGGAATTCGTTTCATTTCGCAAATTCGTCAAAAATCTTTAATTTATCAAACAAATAGAATAATTCGGCGCATATATATACAATAGAAAAGTATGCTTCGATGACTTAATTAATCATCAAAGCGATCAAATTTGGAGTCTAAAGAAGTTTCAAGTTAGGAAATAATTTTAAATAAATTTATAAATATAACATACGCAAATCAACATTTTTCTTTCCCTCGATTAAAATTCGTCTTCGAATTTTCATTTTCTATTACAAATTATTCAAATCATATGTTCGAAATGTTTTTATTAGCACATTTTTTATTAGTATATCTTTTATTGCAAAAGTTGTGATTATTTTTAGAACAGACGATAAAAAAAGTTTACAACGTATGTTGGTAGGAGGTATTTATGATGCAAAAAATATGCATGGGAAACAGTATTCGTGCTCGGTTCATTGTACGTTTCAACAATGCGCTTAGATGACAGTAGTGAGTGGATTTATTATGAAAGAACTAGGTTCTCCGCTGTTGCCACGTGAAATTGTGGGATTCCTCTAAAGAAAATTATTACTTGAGTGAAATATTACTATCGTTACGTACGTTCGTACCTACATACATATATTTTGCACGCGTATTGTCGTGAATTAAAGTAAAAAATGTGTTTTTATTATTTTTTTTTTTTTTTTCGGATAATTTCGGGAAAAGAAACACTGCTGACGACTGATTTGAGGACATTGTATACGTTTCACTGTACAGCATTTGAGGAAGAATAAGTCACGAAAGTGGGTGGGCGGGAGAACCATCGAGACCAGAGCTGGTACTACCTGCAACAACTACAACAAAAGTAACAAAAGTAACGTTGAGGCAAGTTTGAAGAATGTCCCTCTTCAATGTCGCAATCAGGCTTTTAAAAGCCGTGTGGCATTGCCGTTGTCGTTGCTGGCTTTTAGCGTGATACGCTCGTTGAAAAATGGGTAGCCATTGAACGAGAGCCACCTCCAAAAGTGCGTTTTAATGCACGATGCGGAATGTGAGATGGTGGTGAGTCGATCAACCGAAGGAAAAGGCAAAAAAAAAATAGAGGAAGAAATAAAAATTGAACCGTCTTCGAAAAGATAATTCTCCGAAAAATTCTGCATTATAAGTTGCATACGTGAGAAAATTATGGACAATCGATCTATAATTGGGAATGTTTAAATAATGATGACTCGTTTATTAATATTTCATTTAGTTATATATAATATATAAATTGTCATAATTAAAATTTTTGAAAGAACTCCGTATACATATGTGTGTATGTGTGCATGTATAAAAATAATTTTTTTTCTGTACACAATAAAAGTTTTTGGAGGATTAACTGTATCCTATTTTTATACTTTATATATATATATATATATAAGTATAAAAATACATAAGTATAAAATACAGTATAATATATATATAATAATATATAATATAAATATATAAAAATATATAATATATATATATATTTATTTATTTATATATTTTTTCTTTCTTTTATTTTATTCCACTTGTAATATTTGAATTATGACTAAAATTTGACAGAACAATAAACTATGTACCAATGGAAGGATTTTACTCATCGCAAATAATACAGTAGTTAAACTATCCATTCGAGTTTTAAAGAGCTCAGGTAGAATATAATAGGCGGTATTATAAAGGATTAGACTGATATGTACTTACTAAGAGTCCGATTTTGCAAATCTTGAAACAAGTGAAGAGAAAGAGAGAGAAAAAAGAGAAAGTGAGGAAGAAAAAGAGAGAGAAAAAGAGAGAAAGTGAGGGAGAGAAAGAGAGAGAGAGAGAGAGAGAGAGAGAGGGAGGGAGAGAGAGAGGGAGGGAGAAAGAGAGAGAAAGAGATAGGAAGAATGAAAAGGAAACAAGCCCATGGGAGAACCGCAAAATCGCTTTTGGTTTATCCTTTAAAGAATGAACATATTTCGAAGTTAGATCAAACAACTGGCAGTGATACTACTACAATAATATCAAGTATACCAAGGCGTTTATGTTATCGAAATCTATGGATAAATCATATTGTTAATTATTTAATATTCCTTTATTAAAACATATCATTTTTATCTTATCGTTATAATTTTAAAAACGAAGTAAACTATTTAAATTTCTTATTTCCTGTGGAACTTTTAGCACGTGAAGCGATCGAGACAATGACAAAGAAGTTAACTAAAAAAAAAAAAAAGGGATAAAAGAAACAAAGAAAGGATCATTAAGAACACGCCCTAATGCTATTGTTTTTGCGGAAGTCAAATGAAATTATTGGCCAGGTCCAGGTTTCCGTGTGTAAAGAGACCGTGTGTATCCGCAAATACTAATATTGAATCTACGAGAAGGGTCGCGTATGTTTACTAATCCTTCGAGATTTCATTAATACTAGATACCCCATTTACACGTTAATTGAGCTCACTTCATCGTAAAGAGCTAGAGCCGTTAGAGTGTTATATATAATTTCAGTTGGCACTGATTCTACATTGACGTATATAAATTTAACTTATCCTATAATATTCTTTATTATCGTAAATAGTCATCCTTAGATAAAATTGACATATTTTTAATAATCAATTTATAAAATAGTAAATGTACAAATATCTATTTATATTTATTTATTATAAATAAGCGAAAGCTGTGCGGAAGAGCGCATGCACAATAACGATTGCAATACACCAATATCGTTAAAAGCATACCGCAACGTAATATTCAGGGACAATGTTTGTATCGAATATCGATCGAAATTGGCTTCGTTGTATGCAAATTCGTTGGATTAGCCTCGCTGCAGTGAAATATTTTAGTAGTTCGGTAATTTCGGGGATAATTACACCACGGCCTTTCCCATTTTAATCGGTACTATGCATTCCTTCCAATCTTTATTCTGATTGTTTCCTTTTTCTCTACGAACTGTCGATAGGCTCGGATTGTATGTTTGGAACAGAAGATACGCAATTCGAATTGGGATCGTGCAAATTGCATTGGGAATTCCCAGCTGCGTTGGATAATCATGATGTTATTTTCATGAAGGTTAAATCAGATTTAATTGAGAATGCAAACCGCCGAAGTGAAAAAGAAGTGTTATAGGCGGACGATAATTACTTTAAAAAATACTTTATCCATATTGAAGAAAAAAATAAAAGAAGAAAAAGAAAAAATATAAACGCTTATATTAATTACTTCAAATTGTTATTATGAATTTCGTAGATTCTTACATTTTAATAGATATTTCGTATTTTATGTTTCAGGCCGAAATATGGAGCGTATTTATTGCGATTTTAAGGAAAAGCGTTCGGAATTTACAGGCATGTACAGATGTAAGTCTTATAGAACACGTGCTGCATCGATTATCGCAAGCGGAGACTGTTGTTGCAGGTAAATTAGATGCTTTTTCTTCATTCTATAAATATTACGCAAATTTTCTTTATGACTCACAAATGACATTGAAATATAACACGTAGTATTACGATTTAGATATTAGATTTTATAACGCAAGAGATTTTATGCGGTTAATAATGTCGCGTATATCTTAATAAAATTTTTAATTTCTGAACCTTCTTTTGCAGATTTATTGATCGATATGCTTGGAGTATTAGCGAGCTACAGTATCACCGTAAAGGAGCTGAAACTTCTCTTCGGTGCCATGAAAGCGGTTAATGGGAAATGGGTAAATTATTAAAAATTTTAATTAAGACTTTTAAAGTAAAATTAATTGAAAGTGTCTTTTGTAAAGAAAAAAAAAAAAAAAAAAAAAAAAAAGAAAATCAAAGTATTTCGTCAAAGATATATATTTTTCTTTTCTTTTTTATGGTGTCTCCTACAGTTTTATAAAATTATATTTTCGTTTTATAGCCACGACATTCGGCGAAACTCTTGAATGTACTTCGTCAAATGCCGCAACGAAACGGGCCCGATGTATTTTTCAGTTTTCCTGGTAGGAAAGGATCGGTAAGTGAAACTTGATTTTTACTTTTCTCTGTCGTAGACAAAGTAATATAAATACTCGCGTCACACGGACATGTGTCCTTTAGCAGAATGATTCCTTTTTACCTTTAAAACTTCATCGAAGATATTATTCGATTCTAAACTCTATCAAACTTCGGATAAGAGAATTCACGTTGTTTCGTGAAACTCCCGTTTCAACTAACGTTGTTTAAATTCGATATAGTATCGATCCCTTCTAACCACAGCGCGAGATCTTAAAGACGAAGCCTTGTATTGAATCTCTCGAGAATCCTGAGAATCGAGATTAAACCGTATCGCTATAACGAGGTATTATCGATTATCGTACATTCAGCAGTCGACTCATGTAGTTACGATTACATGACACGTCCGTTATGTTCTATTAATTATTCGATCATTAAAAGTCAAAGAAGATAAAAAAAAAAGTTTTAATTATTTTAATCCCCAATAGATAATTGCGTTGATACGTTCGATTGAAAAGTATAATATCTATAACGTAAAATATAATATTTAGATAGAGATATAAAGATATATTGTTATCGAAAGAACATATTTGATGAAGTATTCATAAAATCAATATCCCTAAAATATTTTCATTGTCGTATCGTTCAGTATATTATTTGGACAAATTGAAGAAGATTCGTACGGGGAAAAGTAACTATCGTTGTCTAATACAATAACAAATTTGACGTGAAGTTCGCAAAGTTGTGAAACACGGCTTGTCAATTAGACGCCGATAACAATGTTTGACGATGCCCCATGGCTACAGGGGAGGATTAACCGTTCATCGTAAGTGGAACATGTTCGCCTCGATAGTGGACCTAAGTGATGCACGGTTATTAGTAACAATTACAACATTTATTCCTTTCTGTATTAATATTCAATTTAACTTTCAACAATTATTCCTATTTGTGCTTCCAATTTTTCTGTTCTTTTCCTTTTTTTCTTTTTTTTGTTTTTTTTTTTTTTTAATAATATCTATCAATAAAATTCATATCGAATATCACAATTGTTTTATTATACGATTGTATAATCGAACAAAAAATGGTGTTAATAATAAGTTTCATGAAAAAAAAAATACTTTAGAACTTTTGCAATCTCACGAAAAAAAAAGAGTGGTAGAAAGAAATGATTCTGTAGAAAGAAATAATAGCGAGTTATAAACACAACTCCTTTCTTTCTTTTTTTTTTTCTACAGGCAATAGTATTACCTCCACTAGCAAGGTGGCCTCACGAGAACGGGTTCACATTTACCACGTGGTTTCGTCTGGACCCCATCAACTCGGTTAATATCGAACGAGAAAAGCCGTACCTCTACTGGCAAGTGCTCTTCCATCAAGTACTTTTACAAGAACACCCTCTTGAGTTGAAGCAACCTGCTGCCCTTACGGAAACCAAACCTCCGTGCCCTTAATACGGCCTTTTTAAAATTGAAATAAAAATTAAGAAAAGGGAAAAAGAAAGAAAATAACAAAAAAATTAAAAAAAGAGAAGAAAAAAATATGTCGACCTATTATTGTTACAAGACAATTTACACGGCACGCTTTATGAATTTCATTAAATCGCCGTTTTCCTTTTTTCATTCGATAAACATTGATTCGATAAAAATAAAAGAAAGCTTTGCGATTGCGAAAAAATTTTTTAAATCAGAACTTTCTTCGCCTTCAGGGCACGTTGATATATATATATTGTCACTACTCGTTCAGTATGTCACACAGATAGATACTTTTTTACTTTTTGTTAATTGGGTTTTGCGGTGACGTCAGAGCGCGAATTTAAAATCATGGAAATAGTGAAAAAATCCGGCACGAATTTGGAAACAAAGGGTCGGTATAAAAAACAAATAAAATATTTGACCAGGAATCACTCTTTATTTTTTTTTATGTTTTTTCTCTTTTGACAACAATTTTTCTATAATTATTGACTATTATTTTTGTACTTTTTCTTTTGCAGTTTTAAAACTAGTAAAGGAGTAGGATACTCTGCGCATTTCGTAGGCAATTGCTTAGTCCTCACGTCTATGAAAGTGAAGGGCAAGGGCTTCCAGCACTGTGTCAAATATGAATTTCAACCGCGAAAGGTATATGTAATATATATTTTTTCGTCGTACAAATTTTTTTCTCTTGTTTTTTCTTTCCTTTCTTTTTTTTTTTCTAATTCACGCATTTACTAAACATATTAAAAAGAAAAGAAAAAAGAAAAAAAAGAGAAAGTAAAAACACTGATAGAGTCATTTCTGATTAAATATTTTTACAGTGGTATATGATCGCCGTAGTGTACATATATAATAGATGGACCAAAAGTGAAATTAAGTGTTTGGTCAATGGTCAATTGGCTTCGAGTACGGAAATGGCATGGTTTGTGTCGACGAACGACGTAAGTATCCTTCAGTTAATTGCATTTCATATTTTCACGAGATTAATTATACCGATTAAAAACACATAGCTGTCGTATATAGAAAAAAGTCGTAAAATTGTAAAAAAATCTTTTTACGTCGGAAAATCAAATGAACGATTGTAAGAGTATAATTGTCCGATTGTTAAGATATATTGTAGGTATCGTAACGCGTTAAATTTCATTTATTTCTGTTCGATTTGATTAATATACTTTCCCCATGTATTTAATTAGTCGGACGGATAAATTCACTTGTGAAATTTTGGACTGTACAATTGGTTTTTCATTATCGATATTACATTTATTATAAAAAGATAGTACGAAATCAAACAGAAAGGATCTGTTTCGATCAGAATAATATTATCTTACATGTATACTGTACACATATATACGTTCGAAAACGTTGTTCGTAGCCATTCGACAAGTGTTATATCGGAGCTACACCAGAATTGGATGAGGAACGAGTATTCTGTGGTCAAATGAGCGCGATATATCTATTTAGTGAGGCACTGACAACTCATCAGATATGCGCTATGCACAGACTAGGACCTGGATATAAGGTATGTTATTTAAATATTATTGATTCATATTAGTATATTAATTCTTTATATAAAGTCCTCTTTTACCTCTTCTTTTTTTTTTCTTTTTTTTCTTCTTCGATTCCTATCGACAGAGTCAGTTTCGTTTTGACAACGAGTGTTACCTGAATCTGCCAGACAATCACAAAAGGGTGAGTGATGAGCAGGAGCTCACGAGCATGGTGGACCAAAGTATGCAAACTGTAAGCATTTTGTTTTTATTTTCGCCCACCGTTTATATTTCATTTTGCACTCTCTTATGAACTATTCCATTTATATACTGCGTACTCGAGTCCGAGGTAATTAAATGAAATTTAAGAAGAAATTATGTTTCCTCGTTTCTATTGAAACGACGGTGTTCGCTTATGTGGAATATATTTCTTCGATATTTCTTAGTATCCATCACTTTTCCACTTTTATGTATCTTGTTTACATTTTCTTTTTTTGTAATCTTTTTGCTTCGTACTCTTTTAGATATGGTAATTAATTTTTTATGTTTTTTTATTTATTTATTTATTTATTTATTTATTTATTTATTACATGTTATTCGATATTATATTCCTCCTTTTATTTCCCTTATTGTATTACTCCGTAGATGTATTATTGTTAATATAATTTGATTCCTCTTTGAGATGCAATATTATGACTTCACTTAATTATTGAACGTAATTTTGTTGGGTCTTCAACGTTTTCTATCTCTTTTTTTTATTTTTCTTTTCCTTTTTTTTTCTTTTTTTTTTGCAATGTAGAGTATGCAATTTTTTGCGCATGCTAGTTTCGTAATCCGAACGTGTTCCAATCGATTTTAATTTTCTGTCATCGTTCGACGGATAAATCTACAAATCGTGAAGATATTATACAAATATATATATATATATATATATATATATATATATATATATATACACATATATGCATATGTATGAATACGTTGTTGTATAAATTATTATTAAGTTCCATCTACGATTTTGAATGAAAATCCGTCGGGCGTTATGCTTTCCATTTATTATCATAGTTTTGCTAATCATATTAATGAAAGTATTATTATGATTACCAAAAGTTTTGATGGAAGGCGCTTAAAGTTATTGATTATTAGATGAACGATTAAAATACATATGTGTGTGTGTGCGCGTGTGGAATAACAGGTACTTTACGACGGAAAGCTGTCAAATGCTATTGTGTTCATGTACAACCCAGTGGCTACGGATTCTCAACTTTGCCTGCAAAGTGCACCGAAAGGCAACGTTCCGTATTTTGTACATACACCGCATGCTCTAATGCTCCAGGTACGTATTTGTAATTCTTAATTGTATAATGTCAACATACATAATGAATAATTTTTATTATTGATTTTAAATATCCTTTTGTTTGTTTAGGATGTCAAGGCTGTTATAACACATTCGATACACAGTACATTAAATTCGATCGGTGGTATCCAAGTGCTATTTCCTCTTTTTTCGCAATTAGATATGCCTTATGATTGTATAGCACCGAACGACATCAAGCGAGATCCTACATTATGGTAAAAATAAAAAAAAAAAAGAATAAAAATAAAAAAAAAAGAAAAATGAAAGAAAGAAAAAGAAAAAAAATTCTTTTATATACATTAAAGTTTTGATGAAAGGAAACGTATGAACAAAACTGAGATTGAATTTTCTTATATTTCAGTTCGAAATTGTTGGGCTTTATATGCGATCTTGTGGAGAGCTCTCAAACGGTTCAACAACATATGGTACAGAATCGTGGATTTTTGGTAATTAGTTACATGCTTCAGAGAGCTAGTAGAGATCATCTGACTACGGAAGTCCTAGCATCCTTTTTGGAACTTACAAAACATCTGGTAACCTGTCTCAGTGCGAACAGCGATCTGTTGCTAAAGCAGGTATTGATAAAGTCATAGTTTTATTTCTTTAGAAAGTTAGTTTAAGTTGAGATTAAATTAGAATATCGAATTAATAATCTACGAATTCAAATTTAGTATTTTATGAATCTATACAACAATTTCACTTCCCCTTGAAGAAAATAGAACCTACTTATAATTTCATTCATTTAGAGGTAGATAGTGTTTGTTGTATTAGAAAATTATTCCGGAAGTAATATGTATGTAGGACCACCCTTTTTCGTAGATTTTTTTTACCTAAAAGCGAAGTGTTACTATTTGTATACACGTTCGAAGTAAGTTTATATTAACATATATACGATATCCCCGATTGTATGTATGTATGTATTATTATTATTATTATATTTCAGTTGAAAATCTTCCAAATGAATAGTCGATGGAATATAATTTAATAATGTAAATTTGATATGGTGTTTAATTAAGCATATTATTCTATATAGGAATATACTTGTTTCTATCAGTTAATCTTATTAGATTTTTTTTTTTTTTTTTTTTGAGGAAATCATATTTTTTTAATAATTTTAATAAATGACTGCGACGAGCTTGATTATCACCCTCTAGATAGTTGTATGCCGCCCAAAATTTGAATATTTCTGTGCACTAAATATTGCGATAGCATGTAAAGCGTACGAAAGCTTAATTAGGCATTCTTGCGTATTTTTTGTATTAATTCTACTTCTTAATTTGAGTTGCAGTAATTTTTATAATTTTGTTCCTTAGTATATATACAGATTGTACATTTTTAGCGTTATATTTGCAATAGAAAAGCATGAGAATCATATCAATCTTTCTCTCTCTTTCTCTCTTTCTCTTTATCGTATGAATTTTGCGTTTTCATTCAAACTTTGGATCGCATGCAATCTACCGACTTTGAGGCTTCCTGTTCGTCAAAATACGCCTTCGCAAAGTGTTACTTCGCGCGAATTTCCATGGCTTTTTGACATGAAAAGGACTGTTCAATTATCATTTTTTTTTGCGACGCTCAAATTCACCACTCACATGCTAACACTGAAATATTTTTACGTTACGCGATAATGCGATGCGTATATGTTGCCTAATCCTATTTTTTCATCAATGATTATGTATGTTATTTTTCTTATCAGTATATTATAAGTATCTCGATCGAACAATAATTTTATGGTATGATCCACTCTTATCACATATCTACGTGTTTTCCTTTTTTTCTCAAATTTTTTCTCACAATTCTTATTCAAAAAATTCACTTCGTGTGTTTTATTAATGTTTTATTCCAACGTAAAACGAAACGGAGTACATTGCTTTAAGTTGGTTTTGTTAATAAGATTTTTTTTTTTTTTTTTTTTTTTTTGAAACTTTTCATTCCGAGATAAAATCAATTGAAATCTAATTATTGCTTTAGCAATTGGCAAAATTCATAAATAGATTGTCGTGTTTCGCAAAATAATCGAGATTGCTAAGTCAAAGTTTTCATTCTCTTTCATTCGATACTAATGAATAATATTCATTATCACATTTCCTTAACAACAATATCATGTTTCCTTAACAAAATCAGTGAAAAAGATTGTACTCGTATTTCCAATCTTTTTAAATCAAATGCATGAGTGTTCTAAGCACAAAGCTCATGTTTATTTAAAATTTTCCTTTATCATCACTTTTATAATACCTTTCATATACATATATTATGTATACATATATATATATATATATATATATATATATATATATGTATGTATATTCTTTTTTTGTTATTTCTACACTATTTGATCATGTATTACGCAACATACGCATAAAGAAAGCAGCATTAAAAAAAAAATAAATAAAAAAGAGAGAATTCTATTGCAAATGAAAAATTAATTTATACGAGATCGCATTTTGTGCCGCTTAATATCGTTTTTATTAGATTTTTTTTTTACGATATAGACAGAATAATTTTATATCCATCAAAAAAAAAAAAAAAAAACGATTAAGAATCATTAATTCTATCAATAGTATATATAAGGCGAAACAAACGGATTGGATGGAATTTCATTGTCGAAAAAATATGGCGATGATATTGGTACATATTGTGTCATAGACAGGAATTCCATAAAAGTCGGCTAGATTGGTGTGTCCGAAGAACAGGCAGATCTATGGTGATGTAGTTGTTTTACTTTTCATTCCTAACCTGGCAGCTATTGGATCACGTCCTTTTTAATCCCGCTCTATGGATATACACGCCAGCGCCGGTACAAACCCGGCTTTATTCGTACTTGGCCACAGAGTTCCTCAGCGATACGCAAATTTATTCTAACGTAAGACGCGTCTCTACTGTCCTTCAAACGGTGCATACGCTCAAGTATTACTATTGGGTTGCTAATCCCCGTGCCAAGAGTGGAATAACGCCGAAAGGACTCGGTGAGTTGCAAGAGTTTTATAATATATATTTATTCTTTTCTTCTTTTTTTTTTTTATTTTTTTTTGTTAAAGCTTTTTAACATTTCAAACGAACTCATTTTCGTTGAAATCTTCATCGTTTTAACTGGTTATTAATTTTGTTATTTTTTGTTCTGTTTTGTTTTTTTGTTTTTTTTTTTTGTTTTTTTTTTATAGACGGACCACGACCTCAACAAAAAGATATCTTGACAATACGTTCTTATATTTTACTATTTCTTAAACAATTGATCATGATCGGCAATGGCGTGAAGGACGACGAATTGCAGAGTATTTTGAATTATCTAACAACGATGCACGAGGTAAGTATTTATTTATTTCATTTTTGTTCACAATGTTTAATAGATAATGGCTCAGTGTTCACGGGGAATTTATTCGCAGGATGAAAATTTGCACGATGTTTTGCAAATGCTTATTTCTCTTATGTCCGAGCATCCTTCATCGATGGTACCAGCATTCGATGCAAAACAAGGCGTTAGAACGATCTTCAAACTTTTAGCAGCTGAAAGTCAATTGATTCGTCTTCAAGCATTGAAGTTATTAGGATTCTTTTTAAGTCGCAGTACACACAAGTGAGTGATAACATATTCCAAGATATATATATATATTGTTATTCTAAGTTCTAATTAACTTAAAATTACAATAGAAGGAAATACGATGTAATGAGCCCACACAATTTGTATACTCTACTAGCCGAAAGATTATTGTTAAACGAAGAAACATTGTCCTTACCAACTTACAACGTTTTATATGAGGTATCATCCATGGCCCTATATAACTTTAATGATCCTTTTTTTTATCTAACTACAATCATCATAATGAATCATATAATAAATAATATTTGTAGATAATGACGGAACACATAAGTCAACAAATACTTTATGCCAGGCATCCCGAACCAGAGTCACATTTTCGTTTAGAAAATCCTAGTAAGATTCAACAGTATATTAGAGAACATATTCGTACATGGATTTCGTTCTTATTGCATTATATTTTTCTTTTATTTCAGTGATTCTTAAAGTAGTGGCAACACTGATACGACAATCAAAGCAAACGGAACAATTGTTAGAAGTGAAAAAATTGTTTCTTTCCGATATGACATTACTTTGCAATAACAATCGAGAAAATCGTCGAACCGTATTGCAAATGTCCGTCTGGCAGGAGTGGCTCATAGCTATGGCTTATATCCATCCAAAGAACACAGAGGAACAAAAGATTTCCGATATGGTTTATTCTCTCTTTCGAATGCTCCTTCATCACGCTATCAAACATGAATATGGTGGTTGGCGTGTATGGGTTGATACTTTGGCGATAGTACATTCAAAGGTCAGAGACGAAAGGATAAATAATTAAATAAATTAATTTGTGATTTTACGAAAAATGTAATATGGTTCTTTATCTTTTTTCTTTTTTTTTTCTTTTTTTCTCGTTTCTTTTTTTTTACTGTTTTCATTTATAAAGGTATCCTACGAGGAATTTAAACTTCAGTTCGCTCAAATGTACGAGCATTATGAGAGACAAAGATCCGATAATATAACGGATCCTGAATTGAGACAACAAAGACCCATTAGTACAATTTCCGGTTGGGATCAGCAACATTCAGGGAATAATGGTTACAATCGACCATCGCCTTGGACTAATCAACAACAGAATCATGAAGTTCAGCATGTTGAAAGGAATTACAAAGTAGGTTATCCAAGATCCAAATTGTCCTTCTAAAGTTAGTCTCTAGCGATATAGAGTATCAATCGTAAAAGAAGAAAGAATAAACGTTTTTCTTTGTAGGAATTTGATGGAACAGAAGGAAACGATCGTCTTGAGGAAACGTGCAGTTGTGATCTGAACTCTATAGACAACACCGAAAGCGATGGTAGTCCGGCGATCGTCAACAAATCCCATAGCGAGACCTTAGATACCATGCAGTCCAGCGAAGCAGTCTCTTTAGATTCAAGATTGAGCGACAAACCGGAGACACCAACGACGGCCCGAGAGATTCACACAGATACACCGACAATTTTGGAAGAGGCGAATAGCGAAGTAGCTTCTTTGCCAACGACCCAAGAGACCAGCGAAGTGATATCGATCGAAAGCTCCAGCGATATATACAGTGAAGTACAGAAGAGTCCAAGTCCAGATTCTATGGTGGTTCAAAGTACGGTACAAAAAGAAGACGACATCGTACAGCAAGAATTGGAAACTTCTACGAAAGATCAAATAGAAGATAAAGAAAATAAAACGAATGTCGATGTTGTTATCGAGAAAGAAGTCGAAAAGGAAATGGCAAAGAATGATGATTTAAATAATGATAAAGTTGCCGAACCGATAGAATCTAATGACTCCGAAACAAAGGAAGAAGAGAACGAAGATGATAAGTCCCATCAGACATTGGATTATAATAACGACGCGAGTAGTACTAAGGAAGATAGTCCTAAAAAAATCTTAGAAAAGTCAGAAAAGATGGAGGAATCGAACGACGATGAAAAGAAGTCCGAAATCATAAACGATATGACTAAGGAAGAATCGGAATCAGTTGACGATTCGAAGTATCTTGAAAAACTACAATTGGAAAATGATCGAGAAATCATAGATAGCGATACTTCTGAGGCATATCTAACACCAACGGAACAACAGGAAACATCCACGGAAACAAAGACGGGCGTTGCGGATGTCGCGAAGATCGATGAGAAAGATTTCGCTGAAAAAGTTGCCGTAGCTGAAGAAAGAAACGTTAGAGCCAATGAAGATGCCGAAGAAATTGAGGACGTACCAAAGGGTCCAGAAGATTTGATCGATACGATAGAAACGGATACTAACGCGAAAACTACAAGTAGCAATGACGATAAAATAGAAGAAAAAATAGAAGAAGAAGAAGAAGAAGAAGAAGAAGAAGAAGAAAAAGAAGAAGAGATAGGAAAAGAAGCCGAAAAAGTCGTAGTGAGTAGTACGTTAGAGAGCGACGAACGTGTCGTCGCAGACGCTTTAAAGAACGACAAAAGTGCTGTTATTAATAGTAACGACGACGAGCAGGTAATTGAAAAACACTCAAGGGAGCCGTCCACTATTTCTACTAGCGTAAGTGATAATAAGTCAGACATTCCGGTGAGAACCGACGAGGTAGGAGTAACGGATAGTGTTTCTAGTAATAGCGATATTCAAAGTTCTGTAGATAATGTGACGCAAGTGCCAAATCCTAAACAGCAAATCCCAACAATATCTACGGTCTGTGATGCTACTAAAAGTTTACCCGACGGTGTGCCTCAAAACGTTAGTTCTAATGTGGTTGCAATGGACAATCCAGTTACTACGAATGACTTAACTCCAGATCACGTAGATGCCCACCGCAGATCCAGTTTGCCGATCGTATCCTCCGAGATGATTGCTGAAAGCAACGCCGAGGAACCTCCTTCTCTGCCTGTTCCCTTACGAAAAACATCATCGCCCCAAAAAAGACCAAGGAGTGCCTCAACGTCCACACAAGTGGATCCGAATCATTTTGGTACGTTCTTACTCTTGTCAATATTATTTAAATTTCTTTATGTAATGTTAAAGATAAAAGTTGTGAAAGTGATCGATCAAATGTCCTTTCTTACAGAATCGAAAAGAACGAAGCAAGGAAATCCTTCCACCAGACCAATGTTCAGTCCGGGACCGACCCGGCCACCATTCAGAATACCAGAATTTAAATGGTCATACATTCATCAGCGATTATTATCGGATGTTCTATTCTCTCTCGAAACAGATATTCAAGTTTGGAGAAGGTAATCTATACGTGAACAACAATTTATTTTCTAAGTATTAAAATATTAAATTAATCAGAGATATATCTTTATTTTGTAGTCACTCCACTAAATCGGTATTGGACTTTGTGAATAGTAGCGAAAATGCAATTTTCGTAGTCAATACCGTTCACCTGATTTCACAATTGGCCGACAATCTTATCATAGCATGCGGTGGACTGTTGCCGCTTTTAGCTTCGGCTACATCGCCTAACGTACGTATTTTTATGGTTGTTCGTTGAAGTAATCAATGATCCTATTTGTACTTGAATTTTATTGTGATTTGATATTCACAGAGCGAGTTAGACGTGATCGAACCGACTCAGGGGATGCCTATAGAAGTAGCAGTTTCGTTTCTTCAAAGGTTAGTCAACATGGCTGACGTCCTGATCTTCGCAAGCTCCTTGAACTTCGGTGAACTCGAAGCTGAGAAGAACATGTCCAGCGGTGGAATTCTGAGACAATGTTTGCGACTGGTTTGTATCGTTCATCTTATTTTTTCAATTTTCAAATCCATCATAATTATTTCATCGTTTACATTGGCGTTATCGCGAGTGAAACAGTATAATTGAAAGTCTATTTCATTATATAGCATCGATAATATACAAATAAAATTTTTGAGATCATTGAAACTCGCCAGGAAAAATCACAAACATTAGAAATGCACATCACATACATATTCATTTAAGTATCAATAATCGATAATTTCAATTCGACAAATATAATACCTTGATAGTGTGGGAATCAATATTCTATTAGTTCTTGCTCAAATAGTATAAATATATACATATGCGTAGTTTGCCTCATATCAACGTCCCACATTAAATATGTTACAATATTTCATAATTTATTATCATATGATATATGATAATAAGTCAAAAATTTGTCTTCTCTCTCTGTAGAATTCATGGAACTATCATATTACAATAAATTGCTTATCAACCAAAATTTAGTCGAGTATCGCAGAGAGTGTGTCGTTTCTTATAAATGTCTTATACATTAGTTTCAGATACACATACGAGCACACACACACATACACGTACACACGGACGGACGCACGTACGCACACACATATACATACAAACAGCAAACAAACAGATACATATACATGTACAATTTTTCTCTATAAAGCTAGCTAAAGATAATTTTTATTATTAAAAATACACGGCTGTGTATTTTCGCTTGTGAAATCTTTGTGTATTTTCTCGCATTTAGTTAACTTCAGACATATGTACATACTAAAGATTCATTAATACCTTATCCCCAAATACAATTATTTTTATATACGTACATATATATATGTCTCTGATAAAATGCTTCTATAGGTCTGTACATGTGCCGTTAGAAACTGCTTAGAGTGTAAAGAGCGTGGCAGATCGTACAGCATGTTAGGTCGACAGATTGGTACTAGTAATAAATCACAGCACATACAGTCTCTAATACGAGGAGCTCAGACATCGCCGAAGGTACGTTATTTCCTATTGTCATAATTCAGCTTACATTAGAAACATTTAGATTAGTACTAATTAGTATCATCTTAAATCGCGGTAGAGCACGATTGGTCCTTAGAAGGTTCCCTTATTAAATACCTTTACACGAGCGTGTGTACGCTCTATAATTTCAAGATATCAAGAATTACTTTTTTTTCTTCTCTCTTTTTTCTTTTTTCTTTTTCTTTCCTTCTTTCTTTCTTTCTTTCTTTTTTTCTTTCTTTCTTTCTTTCTTTCTTTTCTTCTTTCTCTCTTTCTTTCTTTCTTTCTTTCTTTCTTTCTTTCTTTCTTTCTCGTTCTCCTTCATTTCTTGTCCATGTCAACGCACTATAGAGTCTTTAGAAGCGGATGCAATATTTTATATTTATATATCGAATATCGTTGCTCCTTTATAGAACATAGTGGATAATCTGGCTCATCAATTAAGTCCTGTGAAGGATCCGGAAAAATTACTTCAAGACATGGATGTGAATCGCTTGAGAGCCGTGATATACAGAGATGTTGTAAGTAGATATGTACTTTGATCGATCCTATCGAAACTTCGATAAAAAATCTTCTTTCACCAGTTGTATTTGAGACTTCGAAGAGGAACTTGTTTTAAGAAATTTGATGAACGGTACGTTAATAATCCACTGTTTCCTCATTTTACAGGAAGAAACCAAGCAGGCACAGTTTCTGTCCCTGGCTATAGTTTACTTCATCTCTGTACTAATGGTCTCGAAGTATCGCGATATATTGGAACCACCGATATCTCAACGTCCACCAAGTCCTGTTCAAACAATACAAACTAATGGCGCCGGTTTAAGACCGGGTAGTCCCTCAGGTAAGATTCCATGTGATTTTTCAATTATCTGATTAATATACGGGCTGATGATAAAAATTTTCATTCAAAATTAATTAATATTTCTAAATAATTAATAAACAGATTTAAGATAGATTTGATTTTTATATTAAAAATATTCAAAGAAGGGGGATATATACATATATATATACATATATATATATATATGTATACATATACATTATATATGTATGTGTCTATGTATTTTACATCGATTGTTCGATTTTTAATTAATGAGATAGAAGATTGATGGACAATGGTCGGTCTCGTCTTTCTTTCTTCTTTTTTAAAAGATCCTCATATAAGAATTGGAATAACAGGTTGATATAGATTTTTCATTAATTTTTTTACTTTTAATATTTGTAAATAAGTTTCGGTAGCATTATAAACGTTCTCCTATCATGAGTGATAATTTATTTGGTCAAAACTCTTACATGTCAGATATGTTTCGTTATTTACTTTTCTATTTATTTCACTTCGATTGTTTAGATTATTATAAATGGACGAACACATTTCTTCCTATATCTTTGTTCCAACACGATATTCCAAAGCATGACTATTCTATATTATAAGCATGTACTTTATAATCGTAAGTCCTCTGAGCAAAAATAAAAAAAAAAAAAACAAAAAACAAAAAAAAGAAAAGTAAAGAAGAATAGTCTTTGCCCTAATGTAGCTAGAAACGAACTTTTATTTCCTATTCATTTTAGGAGATTTTATTCGCCTAATTTAATAATGATCTAATACGATTATCATTCGATATAAATTAATCCGATATTGAATATTATAATTAGCTCGAATGAAATATGAAATTCAATCAAAAATTAATTTCTCGTTCAGAGTTCCATAAAAATTTTTCATTATAAATATAATCATAATTATATACGTCTATACGTCGTAGTTTAAATATATATATATAAAACACGATGCACTAAGAACCACATAGTTGCAATCAAAAGATTAGCACACAACACTAGATAGAACGCATGTACGAGATTGCACTAGTGTGTGAGATATTAACTTTTTTTTTTTTCTATGTATCTGACAGTGAGGGTTTTGATGTTTGTCGAATGTTTTTTGCACTTTTCTTCTTTATTGTTTATATACCATATATTTATTTTTTAATTTCGTTGGCAGCTAACATTCGATTACAAAATGGATAACTTTTTGTTTCCCAATATTCCGACGATATAGAATTTTAAGATTAGAAGGAATAGAAATCGTTTGTCCATCGTTAGATTTTGTTATTAGCTAGGCGTTCGTATATTTTATTTTTCGTAGGCTTGGACTATATAAAACAGAATCGTGATATGGATACGCGATCGCAATTATTATTTATCTCCACAAATTATGTCACTTTTTTCAGCTGTACTTACATGTAATCTTACAATACGTGACCAATTCTATGCGCATAGATCAAGACACAGAAGATATTCGTTTGAAACGTCTTCCTGGTAATAATCAATAAAAATCCTGTGTTGATCACAAAATACTAACATTCTTAAACGATTAGTCCGTAACGCTATCCTGAGTTTCCTGATTTCTTCTTACTCTTTCCTTTGATTTCACTCTATCCGATAGGGGAAAAAAATGAAAAAACAAAACAAACAAAAAAAAAACAAAAGAAGAAAAAAAAAGCAAGAAATGAAAAAATAGAAAAATGAACGAATGAAAAACGATCTTTCATAAAGAAAGACGCGATCTGAAAGAAAAAAAGAAAGAAAGAAAAGATGATAAGGGAATTATGAGAAAAGGAAAATATATAAATAAAAAAAAAAAAAAGAAAAAAAAAATAAGAAGATCGAAATAGCGATGTTGGTAAAGGAATTGGTTAAAAAAACATGATTCTCCCCCTCCCCAGGAGATGGGAATGGTGGTGGAGGAGGTCGGCCCCTGTTTCCACAGTGGTCTCACCACGTGTACCCACAGTTCCTCCCGGGATCTCACCCTAACGCCAATGCGAATGCCAATGCCAATGCCAACCATCACATCAGCCAGCACCACCACCAGCACCCGCTACCGGCTGCCAGGCACTCTAATCGCCAGCCACCCTCCAGCTATTATCTCCCGAATCACCACAACAACCATTACAACCATCACCCGAACAACCATAATTATCATCGACACCATCATTACCATCATCACAATAACAACAACCATCACCATACGCTTCAAAAGCATATAGAACAGCCCCGAAATCTCTGTCATAGAAACTCCGCTGTCGGTCTGCAAGGTAATCTCGATTGCTCGAACGCTCTTCTTCTTCTTTATTATTATTATTATTATTTATTATTATTATTATTATTATTATTATTATTATTATTGTTATTCTGCTCCTTTGTGGAATGCCCATTATTATTTTTATTTTTCTTCGATAAGAGTTTTCGTTGTTATCGTCGCTTACATTGCTCGCAAGCACAATGCTGTTCATTAACGAATTCGAACAACACTGCCTTATTTCTTTTCGATCGATGGATATTGACTTTTGGGTTAACCCCCTTGCGAGATTATCTCTTTAATTTCATTCGATTTAGTTTAGATCGATTGAAAACAGTTTGGATTTTTTGCACGATTAGTCTCGTTAAAATTTTAGAAAATTACTTTTTCTTTTGCTTAGGATAGAGTTGTAATGGGTGATTATTTGCGAAAAGTTTTATTCGAGCAAGTTTTATCGATGATGCTTCTTTTAAGTTTCTAGAGTTTAGGAATGTTAAAGGTTGATTGTAATTTTGTATTGTTTGAAACATTATCGTTAAAACTATACTGTATGTTGTTTAAACATTTTACCAATATCCTTTCCCCCATTATTGTCCTACAAGTACACAAAAAAAACTTATACCCAAATAATATAATACACTTTCCGAATGATTTTTTGTTGCATGATAATCGTTCGCTTGCAGAAACAGAATCACAAGATACAATTGTCAAACACGTTTGATAAAGCACCAGGACATATATTGCACGACGTTAAAAATTCACCATGATGCACGATATATATGTATATATATATATATATATATATATATATATATATATGTATATATATTATATATATAATATATAAGAAAGCATCTGATAAATAATTAAAATCTTAAAAACCAAAGCATTTAGGTGAGAATTTTAGTAAAAGAATTGTCTCCTGGATATTTTTGGAAACAAAGTTCGTTGCATTATGCATAATTATGTAGTTGTATTTGTTTCGTTGCAAGAAGAAAAAAAATTAAAGAAAATATATATATATATAAAAAGAAGAATGTATTAGCAGCATGAGTCGATTTTTTGTTTATGCTTATCGGAATGTTGATTAATTAATGTTGATTACAAGAAGCGAACAAAAAAAGAACAAAAAATGAAAAGAAAAAGTTATCGTTTTTGTTACGCAATAGCTTGAAAATTTGTTACAATTTGATCGTATTAATTCTTTTTACGATTAGTTTTGTTTAAGACCTGCACCATACGCATTGTTCTTTTCGTTAATTTAATCCGATCGACGTGCAACGAATAAGAATTCTAATTGATTGTTTAACAGAAGAAGATATTCGATTAAACGATTATTTCGTAACGCTATCCTGAGTTTTCTGATTTCTTTTTACTTAACTATGAGAATAAAATCCATGAAAAGGATAGAAATATTGACTTAATTTAAAATATATTTGTAATGATAGAAAAAAATTGTTCCCATTCCTATTTATTCTTCCTTTTCTTTTTTCGTTGAACGTCGATCATACGAATCTCGATGTCAAATAAGTTTTGCAAAGAGAGATTCGGCTAATTAATCTCTCGAATCGATTGTCGATCTTAATATTCGTGAATCGTGTTTTCAGGAAGCGCAGGCATGATAAGTCAGTCCGGTTCTCAAGACGACGGTGAATACGAAGTTATTATAGTAGACGAAAATAATTCCTCCATCTTGGCCGACCACGACGTTACGTCGTCCGGTCCACCATCGACCAAGGTAAGTCTGTTATCGACGTTTTCAATATCAATTTCTTATGTAATAAAAAAAAAAAAAAAAAAGAAAGAAAGAAAAAAGAAAAAAAAGAGGAAAAGGAAAAACAAAAAAAAATATAGTCATCGTAAAATTCAATCAAAAATTCGTATGAAACGTGTACAAACGTGTATTGGGAACAGTTAAAATTCGGAAGGTCTCTCAGGTAAAGATCTTATGGAATCTCTTTTATAAATAATTTGTATTATTTCTTTGTTAACGGTTTTAATATATTTTATCACATTTAATAAGAATTAATATTAAAATCGATTAATAGATCATCCATTATCGTTTGAAATCAAAATAAAAGAAAAGAAACGATAGATCTTCGTGAGTTATAATCGAAATTGCATGTTTCCCCGTTTTTTGATGGAACTATATGAATATATTATTTAATACGGTATCTTACGTTAATATTTCATTAATAAAAAATTACAAAATTTAATGAAATATATATCCGTGTGATTTGTTAATTGAAAATTCTTCATTGTTATTTCTATAAATTTTCTAAACCTTTGTGTTGCATAAAGTTTTTCTTAAATATTAAAATTTTTTAATAAAAGAATTCCTGGCACTTTCTCAAAAAGGCACGATATTTGGTGCATTTGCTGTAAATAATGCGACGTAAGTCCAGTGCACAATTAGCTTTGCATTAATCTTCATCACTATTAATGATTTACTCGCGATAAAATAATACCTTTCTTTCGTTAATATTTTTTTTATATTTAAATTCAAATGATACATAATAAAAGAAATGTACATATTTATAGGCAACATATTTATTCGCAATACAATTTCACAATACAATTTCACAAGAACAATTCAGTTAGCGTATCTAGAAAAATATTCTATCGGCATTTATGAAATTATTTAAAAATCGTAAATGTTGATTGAAATTTTAAATTCTCTAGTATGTAGATTACTTAATTTGATAAATGTAGATTGAATTAATGTAGTTATACAATTATTAATTTTTATATAAAATATTTTAGCAATTAATATCGAATTTGTTGCAGTAAGACTCATTGATATTTAATTACAATATTTGATTAATTTAATTAGTTGAAAGTGGTATAGACTTTAAAAACCATATATATATACACACATATGCACAGTTATCAGTACAACGTATCTACAAATATGTCAAAAGGATCCTTTGAGATGAATCACAGAAATTTTATTTTGTTGTTTATTATAATATAATATTTATAATTTGAATCGAATACGGAAGAGTGTTTGAAAAATTTATCTGATAATGAAAACAATAAAAATTAATTTCAATCCGGACGATTTTTTACTAATTTTTTATTTTTTATTTTCTTTTTTTAATTTCAGGCAACATCACGTTCTCATTAAAAAATAAAATACAGTTTCATACTTGCTCTATTCGAAAAGTATTCATAATAGATCAAATCATATCCTAAGGAGCCTTTAAGTATGTTCAATGTGTACGGCATGTTTCGTTGAAACAATTGATTGGGTGTTTAGCACTAACCTAAGTAGTGTCATCGTAATCACTCAATAATTTTTTAGTTTATCTTAACACCGTAGCATGTAAAAAGATAGTTATCACGACTTTCTCCCTATTATTTATTTTCCCTTCGAAATAAATAATTTGATAACATTGCAAAAGATCGAATTTCCATGCTCTTGCACTTTTGACATACATCCTATAACATATATATAAATAAAAAAAAGTATATAAATATATATAAATATATATTAAAATATATATATATATATACACACACTTATATATCTATAGTTTCAGATACCTATGTATTTGTAGTTTTATTTCGAAAAAAAACTTTCCTTTCTTTTCTTTTCTTTTTTTGCTCTCTTTCCTTTTCTTTTTCTCTCTTTTTCTTTTTTTCTCTTTTTTCTTGTTTTTTTGATTTACCCTTTCGAAGCATGCGAAGTGACTGTACTCTGTAATTTTTCTCATTGTTAACTTCCTCTGCTTGCATTGCTATGCGTACTAACTACTGGTTCTGAAGGGAGGTCACAGTGGTGTACCTCGACCACGGACAATTCTCGAGGATTACACCTCGTCAGAACCAACGCTTGGCTCTTCTACGAGGTCCGAACCACTGCCACGAAATCTTCAGGTAAAGCTATCAAATCAGAGACTATCCGTGCAAAGGATGAAAATACTTGAAAGGGAAGAGAAACGATGCGCGAGCTCGCATAAATATTCCTCTATCTTCCTCTTTGTCCCTTTTTCTCTCCCCCTTCACTTTCTCTCTCTTTTTTCCCCTCTTTCTCTCTACCTATCTATCTATCTTTCTCTTCCTCTCTCCTTAATTTCCCCCTCTCTCCCTCTTTCATTTATTTCTATTCTATTTCTACTTTAACTACTATATCTAACTTAAAAATTCCTTATTTTTAATTCTTCGGAAAAATTTGTTTAAAGCACCGAAATAGTTTCGCAGCATTTACACATCCCGAAGGATTATTGATTTGCGTGTAAATGTCAAAAAGATAGTTATCGCATCGTATAAATGAACACCCAGTTGACGGGGAGACGCAAAAGTAACTCTCTATTTTCGCTAATATATTTACTTATCTTTTCATTATTCTATCAATCAGATATTTTAAAAGCTTAATCAGAAAAACGAATGTTTTGCTATTATAGAAAACGTCTGCATTCTATATTACCATACCACACGTTTTTTATTAGCATATATATCCATACATACATTTTATTGATTTCGTAATGAAATCATCATGTGTGTATATAATATATGCTATGAATTTCCTTGTTTGAATAAAATATATACTCTGAGTAGTATGATTAATTTTTTTTTTCTGTCGAAGCTTGAAAGTGAAAAAGGCTTGATTCTTTTTCTTTAAATATATATATATATATATATATATATATATATATATACTAAATGCAAATATATATATATATATATATATATATATATATATATATATATACTATTGTATATTATATTATATGATTGCGTCTTGGCAATGTATTAATAATATTGCATGTCACAGCAACTACGTAGCACGGGAGAATTATTCCTTTTTTTTTGTTTTTTTTTTTACAAGAAGATCTGGACATTATGTTCGTAAATAGTAATTATATATATATATATCTTATATATCATGAGTAAATAAAAAAATGTTGATGTGTTTAAGAGAACGTAGGTTACCAATTAAATTCGTTAGTTTGAAATAAGAATAAGTAGTATTTTAATCAATTAGTATTAGTAGCAGTAGTAGATATTTAATAAACACATTTTATTTCACACAAATGAAAAATTTATACCATAAAAGAAAGAACAAACGTGAAATATCAAATGCATCTTCGAAATATTTTTCAAACGTTAAAATATCAAATATTTAATAATAATAATCATTATTATTATTATCGAGAAATTCTCGCGTTAAGTTAAATTTTTGATTCAATCATAAATCGACGTAAGAATATGTATCGTCGACAGAATTGAAGAAGATTTTCCGATTAATTTAATTAATATAAAGAACAACGAAGTTCATCGAAAAATGTTCGACTTTCCTCTTAGAGCAACGATTCCAGCGAAGAGGCTGTACATCGTAGCAATATTACCGCTGATCCAAGCCCGTCGGAAGTGACGACGGATAATGAGAACAAGCATAATTCATCGGAGGAAGCTTGGACCGACGTAAATTTGAACGAGGATGGCGATACGGTGCCCATATCGAATCCTCGGGAAGATCCTCGAAATATTCATAATATCGCTCACTCGCGTGGTAAGATAATTAATCATTTTATTATTATATTTTTTTCTTTATATCTTTTACCTGACAAAATTCTATAGAATTTAATATAAAATAGACGAAATAGAACTGAGTGATAAGTTTTATTCAATTCTATTAAAATTTGAATATTTGCATATTTTTTTATTTGATATAACATTATATATAGATAATAATAATAATAATAATAAAACGGAAACAATGATCGTAATAAAAGATTAATAAATTCTATATATATATATATATACGATCATTTTAATTTTTCTTTAACTTTGTCTGTCCAAATTCAGGTGATATTCAAAATAGCGAAGGTAACGTTTTGGAACAAGAGATAGTAGGTAATGCGGAACGCGGAGAAAAACCTGCAGCAGAAATTTCTGTGGTTCGTGTACCGGATAGACTCGTTGTAAATGCGGCATCGCCGAGACCAGATGATCTACCAATCAAAGGATTGGTCGATCATCTTCCTGTACCAACACCGTCAAGAGAGGCATCGCTTACGCAAAAGTTAGAAATGGCGCTTGGTTCTGTTTGTCCTCTTCTTCGGGAAATCATGGTCGACTTTGCGCCTTTTCTTTCAAAAACGCTAGTCGGATCGCACGGACAAGAACTATTAATGGAAGGGAAAGGTACGAGTTTGAAATTAATTAATTTATAACGGTACTCGACGATGATCATTTTTCATATGTATAAATTGTTTTTTTTATTTTTTCCGTTGTTGTTCCTACCTAATAATTAACGAGAGTAATAATGAAACGTCATTTATCATTCACAGTTACTATATTTTCTCGTAAAAAGTTTTTATAATTTAAAAAAAAAAAAAAAAGAAAAAAAAGAAAAAGAAAGAAAAATTTCGATATGTAGTGACAAAAACTTTTCGTTGTTGAAGCGACGATCATCATTAGTATTCACTATGATCGCACGAAGCCTCGATATTCGCCCAACGTCGCGTACGATCGTCGTGTCACATTCTCGATGGACGTTTATTTTTTCCGTCATTCCAGAACGATAAATCGAACGGCGCTTGTAAATCACCTCTTTTCCTTTCTCCATCTCTCTCAAATCGTATTCTCCCTTGTTTTCGCACTTTAACGGTTTCTTTTCTTCATTTGAACAGGCTTGACCACGTTTAAGAACAGCAATTCCGTGGTAGAACTGGTGATGCTGTTGTGTTCTCAGGAATGGCAGAATTCTTTACAAAAATATGCTGGTCTTGCCTTCATTGAGCTCATCAACGAGGGCAGGTAAAGAGACTAAAAAAGAAAAGAAAGAAAAAAAGAAAAAAAAAAAGAAATTAATAAAACGAGACCAAAAAAATGGATTATCATAATGTATTGATTTTGTTGATATTTCTTATACAGATTATTGTCCCATGCGATGAAGGATCACATAGTAAGAGTTGCGAACGAGGCGGAATTTATTTTGAATCGTATGAGAGCAGACGATGTATTAAAGCACGCCGACTTTGAGGTAATTGTATTAAAAACGAAATAGAAACATATTAATTATATCTCTTAAGATATTTTTACGACCATCGTAAGTCATGATGTTTAATAACGATATATTGATAATTGCAGTCTCAATGTGCTCAAACGTTGCTAGATCGACGAGAAGAGGAAAGAATGTGCGATCATTTGATAACAGCAGCTCGAAGGCGAGATAACGTGATCGCCAGTAGATTGCTTGAAAAAGTTCGTAATATTTTATCGAACAAACATGGCGCCTGGGGTTACATGGATCCAATGACTGCAAAGTAAGTGGCTCTTTCATTGGATTTGTAACAAAATAAAAAAGAAAGAAAAGAGAGAAAGAGAGAGAAAGAGAGAAAGAGAGAGAGAGAGAGAGAGAAAGAGAGAAATAAAAAGATGTAAATCTTTCGTTCGTCCTATAGGCTGACCGAGTATTGGAAGCTAGATGCTTGGGAGGATGATGCACGTAGACGTAAGCGTTTCGTGCACAATCCACTAGGCTCGAGCCATCCCGAAGCTACGCTGAAGGCAGCCCTTGAACACGGTGCACCCGAGGATGCGATACTTCAAGCGCGCGAAGAGTTTCACGCGCATCTCGCAGCCTCGCGTGCACATCAGCAACAATTGCAGTCGGCGGATCTAATGGACGACAGCGAGCTTCTCTCAGACGACAGAGATCTCGATAATGACTTAACAGGTTTCTATCTATTATTTCGCTTGCTTATTTCTTCCTTGGACATTTTTATTTATTTTATTTAATATTTTCTTAATTTCAACGTTTCTTTCTTTCTTTTTTTTTTAACTTTAAAAAAATAATTTCAAATAAACGTTCACATTAATCAAGACAGATCAATAGAAAATTATTTTCATTTAATTTTAGGTCCGGTAAATATCAGTACGAAAGGAAAGCTAATAGCACCGGGTATAGTTGCACCTGGGATTATATCAGTGACATCGACGGAGTTATATTTCGAGGTTGACGAAGAGGACGTGGAATTTAAAAAAATCGACAGCGAGGTAGGATACTTTTAATTGTTCGAAAAAAAAAAAGAAAAGATACTTTATCGATTATTCTTTATCAACTAACGACTATCGTACCGAATTTCTGAATGTTCAGCATACTTTGGACATCATTATGATCGCATGCTCTCGCATCAGATATAATCGGAAGATTTTAAAATTAATAAGACATTTATTCGCGTGACGATCATAGCTAAAAGGTACTGAACGTATGCACGATATTACGTCGTTCGGCCGCAGGGTTTACATATCATTTGCGAACAGTACACATAAACCAACGGAACGTAAATTTAACGACTTTTGCAAGTTAGTATCACGTTTACGTTGGTCTCATTTGGTTTTATCTTGACCAACGGCGACACTAACCACATGCGTTTTACATCGTGACATATGGTTCACGTAATCTCGATAGTTAATTACTTGGCTTCTCTCCTTTTCTCTCTCTCTCTCTCTCTCTCTCTCTCTCTCTCTTTCACTCACTCTTTCTCACTCTTTCTAATATTTAGATTAGCAATTCTATATAAGATGTATTTGGCGCAACCTGCTGCCCTGGTAGAGTTATCTTCTTGAAATATGAGCTTAGAGTTCTTTCGAAACGATAACCTTACGTTCGCGAACGTGGACACGAACGAAAGCGAACCTTCTTATTTCCTATATTTTTTTCGTTTCTTTTATTTATGTTTGCAATGCCCGAAGGAATACAATGGCCGTTTCGTCGATAGATTTTCCTCGTTCCGTATAGTCGAGCCTTTCAGAAATTGAATCGTAAATGCGAAAACCGGTTCCACGAAGGGGCGAGCATTAGCGTACAACAAGTCGTTCGACAGTAGAGCGGTTCTCCTCTTTGGTGTCTTCGATACGAGACTTCATCACCGATACTACTCTCTCGTTATCTTTTATTATTTTTTTTTCCAAATTCTTCGAAGGCCCTTTGAATCATACATATCTTCTAACATTTTATAAAATTCGTTCATTATCATTCCATTAACTCATCCTCGATTCGCGAGGCTAGTCTCACATCGTGTTTATATTAATATCCTGGAAAGATACCTTGCCTTTCTACCAGGAAGTTGACCGAGCATGGATCGAAAGGAACCGTAAGAATCCGCGTTTGGTTCCGCGTTGAAGAAGGTAAGATTATTGAGGTTGTGGATGTCGCGAGGGTCGGAGGGTAAAGGTAAGAAAGCGAAAAGTGATTTACGAAGGCATTTATCTTGCGAAGTGTCCTTTTAACCAAGGAGAGAACATCGAAAGACGAAGAGTCGAACATCGAAACATCGTAGAGTGGTAATCGTAGAGTGAGCACGCGTATTCGTCCTTTCTCGCCGCGTGACGTGGAATCGCTTTCGTGGGAAAGCGATGGTAGCCGAGGCCACGAGGAAGAATATTAATCATGCCAGGTAGCTAAGAATTTGAATAAACGGGATCCATAAGCGATGAGACGTGGCGAAAGCTTCCATGGCAGACAGCCTATCTCTATCTTTCTTTTTCTCTCTTTCTTTCTGTTTGGTATTTCGTTGACTATTATAATTGGTTTTCATTGGAATTGATTTGGACGTGTGTCCATGCTTATGATTCGTGGGGGTGGTCACTCTGATAGAGAATAGTGGCGAGAAGATCGGATGGATGGATAGCTATAGAATGAAAGAGAGAGAGAGAGAGAGAGAGAGAGAGAGAGAGAGAGAGAGAGAGAGAGAAAATCTTGGAGATCAGGAACGAGATTCAAGAGGGCCTGGAAGAAGCGGAGGTACGATTATCATATATCGGTCGTAGATCTCGCGTTTGTATAACTAGGGAATAAAACAAACAGAGGAGGGCCCCATGGGGTCGGCCGATCTTCAGGGTCGGCAATTATGAGCCCCCCGCGGGCTCCGGTATCTACCTACCCATTCTCTCTCCATCTTTCTCTCTCTCTCTCTCTCTCTCTCTCTCTCTCTCTCTCTCACTCTCCTCTTCGTATCTTTTCTCTGCGCCTCTTTCACTCTTTCTCTCTTTCCTTTTCTTCCATAACACGTTTACCGAACATTATCGGTGGCATAGACCAGACTAGCTTCTTTGGAATGCACAAAATTACTGTTCTTGCACCTTCCACCAACGTCGAAGGGACTGATGCAATGACTCGTAAAGTCTCATACTTATATCTCTCATACATACGTTGTTTTTCTAAAGATTCGAAAGATTTTTCGAGGGAAGAATATCTTTGATGCTTATACTCTCTTCTGCTTTGTCTTACATCTTCATCTCATTCTATTTCTCTCTCACTTTCTCTCTTTCTCTCTTTCTTTCCCATCTCACGTAGGCTCCAGCAAACTATTCCGAGGCACCTGTCGTCTTTGATATTCACATGAAAGAGAAAGAATGGCGAGTGGAGACGCGAGTGGCCGCTCGAGTCGGGTTCTCTTAATTGGAATCCTTTTTAAAGGAGGAACGCCGAGAGACCGCACCTGGAAGCGGTATCAGAGAAAGAGAAAGAGAGAGAGAGAGAGAGAGACGAAAGAGAAGGAAGAAAGAGAGAAAGAGACGAAAGAGAAGGAAGAAAGAGAGAGAGAGAGAGAGAAAGACGAAAGAAAAGAAAGAAAGAGAGAGAGAGAAAGATAGAAAGAGAGAAAGACTGGTCGTTCACGATCGAGACACACTCATTAGTCGAGGATGTCCCGAGGGTAGGCGGGAGGCTTCGTCGAATTCGTAGGCGATGGATCACTCGATAGTCGAGTCGAGACTTAAGCGATCGTAATGCGCGGCTCTCGGAGAAAAGGATGCATCGATAGAGAAAGAGAGAAAGAAAAAGAGAGAGAGAGAGAGAGAGAGAGAGAGAGAGAAAGGGTAGGATAGAGGGAGAAAGAAGGAAAGAAAGAAAGGAAGAAAGATAGAGAGAAAGTGGCCCCGGGGAGAGGATCGCATATCGGTGGGCAACAAACACTGCCCTTCACTCTTCTCCCTTTTATATCGGTACACCTTCTTTTTCCTTCCTCCCGCGCGTGAGCACTCGCCCGTGCCTGGCTGATCGTGTCGATTCCCTTTCCCTCCTTCTTACTCCTTTTTCTCTTCTTCCTCTTTCCTTCTTCCTCCTTTTATAATGGGCCTGGGCAAACGTATTTATCGTGATTTATCGTTTACACGGACCTCCTCTTTCTTTCTTTCCTTGTCTATCCTTTCTCTTCGATGCCGTATCCTTGTCCTTTTCTATCTCTCTTTATATACGTCGTACATTATGGACAAAGAGGGAAAGAGATAGAGAAAGAAAGAAAGAAAGGGAGAGAGAGAGAGAGTGGAAGAAAGAGAGAGAGAATGAGAGAGAGAGAGAGAGTGGGAGAAAGAGAGAGAGAATGAGAGAGAGAGAGAGAGAGAGAGAGAGAGAGAGAAAGCACACACAGTGCGATTACGTCGAGAACGCCGAGAGTGAATTATCGATAGTCCGCGGAGAGCATTAATATCTAAAACAAATAATGACCACCGTCTCCCGGGGTTTTGAGACTTTCGATCGAACCCTTTTTGTCCCGCCTCGATGAAAGGGAGCGCCCTTTTCATTTTCTTTTTTCTTCTCTTTCTCTTTCTCTCTCTCTCTCTCTCTCTCTCTCTCTCTCTCTATTTATCTATCTATCTCTCTCACTTTCTTTTCATTTTCTTCTTCTATCTTCTTCATTTTTGCTTCGCAGCGAGAAGAAGTTCGGCCATTTGCTTTTCGCACCATCCATCCGAGTAATCAATCCTTTCACGCGTCACTCGAGTTTTTTGTATTTCGAAGGACCATCTCGGAAGGTCCCCTGAAAGACTATTGCCTAATTGTATTTGATCGACATGGTTTTGTAGGTGTATCCCTCATCAATATTTTTTGTTTTTTCTTTTTTTTCTTTAACCGATTGGTTTAGGATTTATCGTATAAATTATCGTTATAATAAAATTTGTTTCAAATTTTAGAAAAATCTTAATCAGGTACAAGATAGTATTTAATATTAATCAGGAATTATCTCTCAACCCTTTCCTATTAATTGTAAAACTTTCCTTGATCTTTTCTTATTGTTAGTCAGACTATATACGATCTTTCAGATCAGAAACGGGTACGAAATAAAAGTGAACCGTTTCCATTCAATTCGATACACGCGCTTCCAATCAAACGTATATTCAACGTAAAAGAAATTTTTACCGTCGTGTTTATTCACATTTTCACGCAGCTTCGAGACGAAGTCACGATTCTCATTTTGCATAACGCAGCAGGCTGTAATTATAAGTGTTTCACTACACACGCAAGATTCTCGTCGCTCGATCCTATAATATAGAATATTTTTCAGTTCAACTTACGATCGCTTCGTTTTCCTTAATTCGACGTTCTTTTTCTGAATAATTATAATTTAGTTACTCGCCAAGTTTTCATCAAGTTTTGATGATAACGTTAATTCTAAATTTATATGATTTACATAACATGATTCAATCGTATATATATATATATAAGTCAATTTTATTTAGCACGTACAACAGGTATTTACAGAAGTCCAAAAATCCTTAGAAACATTCTTCTAATACTTATTAGTCGGTACATGCGAGAATATCGCCGCAGGATATTTTAACTTTAAAGGAGTTACGGATAAGGTACGATAGAATTAGAATCAGGTAGTAAGAGGGAGAGAAATCGACCGGCTAGGCAGGTGGCCTGATTTAATTCTTCTTTTCTTTTTTTTTTTTTCCAAACATCAAACCTCATTGGCAAATAAAAAGAATATTCTTGTCGATGTTTATAATCTACTCATTAGAATAAGTATATTCTTTATCGAACTAAATCATTACCATCAGTTTTTTCCCTTTAATCGTCATATAATTATTCGCTCAATCTTACTTCGACCTGTTTGTTATTAATTTATTTAACATATATTACAAAGATATATATATATATATATATATATATATATATATATATAAACAGGATATTCTTTTTTCTTTACTCTAAGACGTTGATCGCGCGCGCGGTTCGGCTTCTCGATGAAAATTATTACCTTCTTGCG